TGTCTAAAAATGGCTGAAAGGTACGAAAAGGAAGTTCTGAGCCCATGGAGGAGAGCTCGGTTTTTTGTAAGGCAGGTCTTGTTTATGTGACTGTACCTGGTCCTGTGCAGAGCTGTGACTAATGAACCTGCTTACTTGAGTTTCACATTTGGAGGTGGATTAAAAAGAGTTAACTTGTTTTGCTTGTAACAGGAGATAGGACTCCATCCACTCCTCAGCACGGTAAGCAAAGCTCCAGTTTTTGATCTTGCGTGTAGTTTGCCTTTGTTCTAGGTGCACAGCCCACACATCTCCTAGCAGGCTGACGGTACGCGGCAGGGAAGCGTTGCACTGGGTAAGGTGCTAGAGGAGCAGCAAGCAGGCCAAAGGGTGGGACACAAAGGGGCTTGATTCAGAGAGAGAGAAGATAAGGATTGATCCAAACGTTTGTGTAGTTTTGATTTTCTGAGCAGACCTATTCTCACCTCGTGACATGTGTAATGGGATCTAGTAACGGTGGGTTTAATCTGGGGTAACGCTTGACTGCGGAGTGCCTTTTACATTAGTAGATGGACCTGGAAGCAGGGAAGAGAACCCACACAACTAGCTTACCATTTTGGGGGGTTGCTTTTTTTTTTTAATGTAAAATTTTAGATTTCTAAAATGGGGAAATGGTTTTGACTACTTACGTGGTAATATAACTGCTAGTTTTAAGTAAACTGGGAAACTTTTAACTTATGTCTGACAGTTGTCCTGTGTTAATGTGTAGAAGACTTATCCTTCCATATACTGTTGCTGTAGCTGCTGTATTTTAGACCAAAACTGATCATGGCTTAATGGTAATACTGAAAATGGTAAAACTGAAAGGTTGTAGATGTCCTGATGCAGTTTGTAGCCACTGTGGGTATAACTTTTCAGATGTGTATATTGGTAACAGGTCAGTTTGGAAAGTCTATAAGCTACAATAAATTTCTGGTTCTAAAGGTTGTTTGCATTTATTTCTTACTGAATGGAACAAAGTTGAATCAAGTTACATTAACTGTGTGTTAATTTACCCGTGTTGGTGGCAGTAGAAGAGTTTTGTTTTGTTGATTTCAAGCACAGAAAGACTTTGGTAGCATGTGTGTACAATTTATTCATTTGTTGTATTTTCTGATTTACAAAACATGTACATAAAGCAACTGAAAAGTTAAACATGTAAACATTCTCTTTTTACAGAACCATGGTTTGGTTTAAAAAAATACTTCTTTTTTCAAAGGCAACAGAATAAGCACAATCAGTTTGTACAGAGTTAAAAAAAATAATCAGAAACATTTCTAAATAAATAGAAAGGGGCATCACTTTGAGCATATTTATAAAATCAGAAGCTACTTATTTATATAATGAAATGTAATATTTTTGAAAGTGATTTAAGTTTTGATCTTCAGTACAATTCAACTTGCTGAAAACTTACCAGGTGAGCTGCTGCTTTGTAAATTGGGAGTCAGAGGCTCTTTGCTGACCCAGTACAGCCATCGGAGTTCATTCCAGATGCTATTCCAGTGGTGTACAAGGAAGAAGGTCCAACTTGCTGACTCATTGATAGTTTTACTTCTTGGAGGTAAGTCAATTTTCTAGATTAAGTAACATTTTTGTAAAACCGTGTGCTGGATTGAGAAACACGCTGATACAACTTTGTTTTATTGCACTTTTAAAACTGAAGGACAGATGATGTGAGCCACTGCTGCTTTGTAATTCTGTAAAACTAGAGTAGGGCCCGAGTTTTCTGGAAACAATATCAAAGCAAGGGTACGAACTGCTGCCAGCCTGCAAACCAGGTACCTACGAGGGACTAAGGGACACCTTGCAGCGCTGCCAGGCAGGATCCTGGGCTGTCTGACAATGCAGGAGAATGGCTTTTACGCTGACAGAACTGGATGTTTCTGCCCTTCCACAAGAAGGATTAAATAGTTGGGATTTCATTGCATCTCAGCTTGCATGTGCCCTGATCTTTTTGCATACTTTTTGTTTGTAAATTAGTTAAATTAGGAAATAGCAATAATTATCTAAAATGGAGCCAAGTTGTGTGGCCACAGGGAACTCTACAAGCAGAGTCTGGGAACACAGAGGGCTCATAGATGTCCATGTCTCTGCACCCTCCTAGCCTGTGAAGCATGAGGTTATATAATCTAGAAAAAGGAAAATGATCCTTATAATACTTAAAACAACAAAACAACAACAAAAAATATATCTGATGGTTCAGTCTCATCATTTGTTGACTAGTTTCATAATACTGTACTTCTAATTGCAAATTCAGATTAACTGTGTGAAGACTTGAAACCTGAGACAGCTCTGCTGTTGGGTTCAAGAAAACCATGAGTAATATTCTAGAATCGGGAGAAACCACATCAGTGAAAGTAATTTTAGTATCTTGCAGAGAGCTCAGCTTCCATAGAGGACAAGAGTCAAAGACTGCAGGAAATTTCTTTTAGTCTCTAGACTAACTTCTAGAAGCAGCAGCAGTTCTGGGGTGCTGGCTCCAGCTGAGAGCTGTTTTGTTTCCTGCAGGTCAGTTTGTACGCGGTTATCTGCTGCTGTTTTCTAGTGTCATGGTCAAATGCAGAGTTACGGGAAGAACGAAGCTGGCTGCCACTTCTGGCTACCTAACCAGGGGCTGTGACACAGAGAATGTACAGCAAAAACAATCACTCACTGCAGACACACTGTCAGTATTATTAGTAATATGCTAAAGAACTGTTAGAGAGGAATGTGTTCCCAAGTAATCCGGGTCACTTAGAAGGGTACCTGCCAATTTATCTTGAAATATTCTGGACCCTTCTCAGTCACATACAGTAGCATTTGAAAGGTGTAGAAAAAGGGGATCTCAAAGGATTATAAATTAAAATGAGTTGACTTCTATAAATCATTGCTGCTTCTAGGAAGTGGTGCTCTATGAGAGGCAACCTGGTTTATATTAATATATACAAATAGTACAGAATAGACCTCATGGGATAACGTCTTTATGAAAGAAACAGTAAGTACTTCACCTCAGAATTTAAATTGGCATCAGCATAACACTAAATCATGATCTGGCAGCACCTGTTTGTATGTACAGGTAATGAGGGAAGGGTTTATTAAAGGTGTTTCATATTCCATTCACTCACCAAACCCAGTGGTACCTATTACTATTAATTTTTACTTCTCTGAGGCAGTGTTAACTTAGCTATGTAGCTGATGAACAAATGAATTTGAACTTGTCCTTAAAAAAGGGTGGACTTGACTTAAACAGCCAATACAGGGCAGCATTCTTTAAATGTTAAAGTACAGGGGTACCTGATTTTAAAGTACTAAAAAAAGCTGAAAGCCAAAAATGAGTTGTACCCATGTGCTGGATGTGAAAACACAATCAAATCAAATCAAATTTATCCCATGACAGGGAAGATACACTAAGAATAAACAGGCCAGGCCAGTCTCTGTCCTAAACTTGCTGGTTTTGTGGGAATTTTAAACCAGACCTGAAAGCTAAATTTACATGAGAGAACAGTCCAGCATTTGACAATACCTGCATCTCCTGTGACTTGAGAAACAAGATTTAAACTGCCTGTATTTTTATTTTTAACCAACATAGGTAAGTGTAAGACTTTAAAAAAACAGTTCTGGGAGTAAAAGAAAATTGTTCAACCTAGTTAAGAACATACAAATCAAATACAGGATTTAGCTTCACAGGTGTCCTGAAAATTGGACTGTGCTATTCTTTAAAAGGCAGGAATGAGGAATGACAGCACCTCCATAGGAACCTGATGTTGTGGAGAACATGGGGAAATGGAAGGAAGCACCCCAGGGAACTGCTAAAGGAAGCAGGTACTGAACCACACCACTGCAGCCCACGGGACGTCCCCAACTATGCTCCTGGCAGGCCCTGAGTGGCAGCTGTGGCTCCTGTTCATCTGTCCCTGTGCAACAGCCATGCTCAGAGCTGCTCACCAGGTGAGGACACAAACTGGAGACAAAAATATGACACTTAAGTAGAAAGAGGTGATTGATGACAGCACCATGTGGGAGATGGGACAGGTTCCACGGGGGAAGGAGACAGAGGTGGCAGTGAGAACAGGAGGAGGCTGGAGCAGACAGTTTGTCCTGATTGAGGTACCAGCAGAGATGACCACAGCCTGCTCCTTGGCTGAACCCCTGTACTGACATGCAGCCTTTGCACACCAGCTCTACTAACAGAGTCACGTGCCGTGGTTGAGAGGAGAAAGGTGGGGAAAGGAACAGGGAACAAATTTGTAAGAGGGTGAGCTGAGTTGCAATTTTCTGTAATAAGTGTTTCAGTGTTAAACCCACTCATCTGGCACTCCTGTCCTTGCACAGGGAGGGACACTGGCCAAATAACTTGGGCACAGAATGGGACCAGCTGTCCCAGCTGACACTGGAATTACAGTGTTATATCCCAGTAATTACGTAGGTGTGGGCCACAGCCCTGCAGACACATTCTACAGGGAAACCAGGTGGCAAAGGAGCTCTAATGTACCCCAACAGGAACACGTGGAGCCAATGTTCCATGCCAATTTTGAAAAATCTTACAATTTTCAGGCTTAAAACCAGAATAAATGCAGAAACCCAGGAACTGCTTGAGGCTCAACTAAAGTCTGACTTAGGAAAGCAAACAAAAATACCTAACCCATGGGCCAATTCAAGCCTTTTCTTGCAGCATTAGTTTTTTGACAGCAACAGATGGGTTCCAATTCAGTTTCAGAACACTTTGGCCTCTGTAGCAGAGAGAAAGTCTTACCACATATTTTTAACCCTGTCACAATGCAGAGTAAGAGAATTTAAGTCGGGTTCAGTGGTGATTTAAGCTGACCTACCTGGGTGTACTGACACAGAGCAGGAGCAGCAATCACGTGGTGAATGCCTCTGAGCTGTAATGGTGGCACCTAGAAGACGCACTGTAAGAGCTACAGGGACAGTAGGTTCTTGGTGTTCAGACAGATGTTCAAGGAAACAGAAATAGACACATGAACACAGTGGAAGGGTGTTACAACTGCCTGAACTCTTCCATTAGAAGATGTATTTGAAGCTTAACAAGTTCTGAAGGATACAGTACATCGACCTACCTTTCACTGTACGCAGTAATTTTATTGCCTCAGGTTTCTCCCTTGTCCCCCAAAGACCTAGAGCAGACACCACTATGTGGCTGATGACAGTCCAACAACTTTTCAGTCAGGAAATGTCTGATCTCCGGGAACGCAGGTGCAGGATCTTCAACAGGGCAACATTCATCAGTCTTTAAAAACCTGTCTCCAATTGCTGGACTCAGTGCAGGTTCTACATTCTCTGGAGCAAGTGTGCAGGCTGTTGCTCTACTGTCTGTTGTCTTTGGATACGTTGTGCGCCAGCCAGTTCACTTTGGTTTTCCAGCTCTCTCGCAGGGCTTCGTTAAACTTCAGTCTGAAGTGCTTCAGTGCCTCCTCGTCTGTTTTCCCCAGAGCTAAGGAATCCTGAAGGTAAGAGGCAAAAAATCAGAATGGTCTCACTGAAAATGCAATTGAACAATTAACTGCTCAACTACTCAAGTGTTTACTTGCTAAGAACTTACTCCATTGAAAGGAGCGCTGAGTAGGGAACCAGTAGCCATGAACTGGTTTAAGTAGTTATTGTAATTGCACAGGTTTTTTCCATTCTGATAAATGTGGGGAACAGTAGATTTTAGTGCTCTAGTACAAAGCTGCTGTCTTTCAGTTGGCCAGGGCAGGGTTGTTATAATTTTAGAGGTAAGCTTGGGAGCAGGAAAAAATAAGACAACCAAAGAGCTCTGTCTCCTTCCCTGCAAGCTGGTTCCACAAGGTACCTACTGCCTTTGTGCTGAAGAACCTGAAGTTATTTCCTGAACACCAGCATCTGACATTTCTGATGTCCTGCAAACGAACCATGGACGTCTACTCAGGATTTTTGGAACTCATTTGCTTCAAAGAATATGTCCTCACCCACTGAACTCCTCCTCCCTGAGCTACACGATCAGGTATTCAGTTTTAACTATATCTGGACTCTGCTTCTCTTACCTTTAGATACTGAATGTCTTTAGAGCAGCTGAGTTCTGGCAGGCCAGCAGCTTTCATCAGTGCAAACAAGTGCAGGAAGAGAAGACCATGGCGCCTCAAAATCATATAGGCTTTTTCACAATAACCCCTGAATCTGTCCAGAAAGGAAGATGAGGCAAAGGAATGAAGACTGCCAGCTACAGCATTTTATAAAGCCAGGCTAGGTATTACTCTGAAGTCTGCTGTCTGCATTGATGGCTACAAAGCTCTTTCACTGTCTCTAACAGGTAGATAATGATTTATTTGCTTTCATGTGTATAGGCAGCTATCAGCTACATAGCATTGGTGGAAATAACTTCTGAAATTCAGAGCTTAAAAAGCTTAAGTCAAGTTTAAGTGCTAACACTTACCTTTCAAACTTCTCATTGTTGTTAGTTTTTCCTTGCTGGATGACGTGCACAAAGTCGTAGGTTAAGATGAAAGGAACTCGTTCTCTATTAATACCAAATTTAGTCTTGAAGTTCCCCAAAAAGTGACCAAAATCAATATGGAACAGCTGAAAATAAAGAAGAAAAAAATTGTTTTCAGAATAGCATCTATTTTAGCTGATGAGTGCTGAGTTCTCTTCACAGTTACCGTATTCAAAAGATACTACAGGATTTTGGGAGGGAGAAAAATGACATCTTCCATGGCACTTCTTTGGGAAAAGAGGGAATATTTACTTGCCAAGATATTCTCTAGTGTAATTAGATGTTGGATGGGACAGAAAAGGCACTTACCTCTTCAGTACTTGGTCTATCTGAACAAATGTCAGGTTTTTGTAAAGCCTGAGTGTGTCACTAGTAGAAGCAGAAAGAACTACACTGGGCACCCTACCACTGCAGTCTGCAGTCCTGGACAGTGTGTGGAAAGAAGACAGATGTCCCAAGTTGCTACAGAACTGACTTGCTCAGGGGGGCGCTTTGTCCACACCTCTCTTTTTTTTTTAAATACCGAGCCAGTCTCGCAGAGCTGTAAACCCCAGAGATACCAAACCCCAGGCTGTGTCTCGCAGGGCATCAGCTCCCCCACGTGGATAAATAACTGAGCGGCCCCTGCTCTGCACAAACAGTTCTGTCAGCTCCTTGCCCAGCATTTTTTTTTTTTTTTACCCGAGAGATACAAGTCTCAAAACATCAGCAGCCCATTTCTTACTTTCAAATATTAACTAACTAGCTGACTTCCCTGGACCTGCAGGAGACTTACCTTGCACCGTCTAGCACAGGGCTGTCTGGGCTTTGTAGAATTCACAATTAAACAAAAAGACAGCTGTTACTGAAGTAGTTTAGTACACGTCCTGTTACCAAAGGGATTTTCTTTTTCTTAGTTTTGCCCTTTGTCTTCCAAACAGTGTATGAGAAGATACAAACTCTGGTAACTGTTCTTGTGGAACAGAGATGTATAGGAATCAGTACAGGAATCAATGGGAAATTAAAACCATGCTGAGCACTTGCATTCATTTAAAAAAACCCAAACCAAACAAAAAAACCACCACCTCACATTTTTTCCAGGCAGAAGACTATAAATACATCAACTTGGGTAAGTAACTGAGGATCTTACCTCGTAATTTACCTAGCAACTACAAGCAATTTGTCTTCAGGACTGATAGCACAAGTGCTTGAGTTTGCATCTGCAGCCAATTTTAGGTCTGAGGGGTATGAATTGCTCCACTGTAATTTCAAAGTGGGTATTAACAGCAGCAGTTGATGGCAGTGATGCTTACAGAATTGTAATTCAAATTATAAAACTGTATTTACCCTCTTAATGATAGAAGCTATTGAGAATATTTGTCCAGTCTGGCTCTGGGCTGGAAGGTGAGGTACATTCCTTAGCAGTAGGATTGCACTGGATGTATCTGTCCATTGCTAAGTAGCATTCAGGCCCCTCTTGCAGTACTCCAACAGCAGCAGTGAATCCCATACCTGTCCAGTTTCCCGGATCATGATGTTGTCACTGTGCCTGTCACCTATCCCCAGCACATATGTTGCCACGCAGTACCCAGCGCAGGAGAGAGTGAACTCCTCTATGGCTTGTTCTAATGCATCACTGAAGAGGGTGAGAAAAAGATTGAAAGAGAATTTGACATTGAACACCAGCACTTCACTGTTTTTACAGCTTCCCCCATAGCAACCTGCAGGAGAAGGTAAGGGAATCAGGTTTGAATGTCTGTAGTGTTCTCCAGAGGCAGCGCTCCCACCCATGCTTTACAAAAAGCAGCTGCAATAACAACTGTCTGCGACTGGAAAGGTCTGGCTAAGGTTGTGTCTACAATCTCAACTAAATCAACTCATTTCTAGATCCCCACAGATCCAAAAGACAAAGCGGGCTCCTAGAATGGTTCGTCTTGGTGCCCTGTTAAGTCTCAGCAGCACCAATGTATTGCTGCTGCCTGTTTCTGTCTGTAGTAAAACCTCGACCTACACAGCTTTTGTGCTGCTTTCTTTCTTCACCTCCCACTTCTGGCATTGTGCAACAGGACTGATGGGAAGATCAAGGTTTGGATCCAGCCTGTGGACAGTGCAACCTTAACCTATCTAAGATCAAAAAACTTGCAAACAGTAACCCAGATGCCTCCATTTCTGCTCAAGACCCAGACAGATCCCCATGACGCCTTCCAGTGTTGCCCTGGCAGTGAAGCAGCCACAGGTATTGTGGGACAGCTTGGAAATATGCACAACTGAAGGAAAAAAAAAATGAGCAAAGCAGAAGCAGGGTCTCCAGCTGGAAGGAAGCAGCACTGAGTAAAAGGTGACTTACCCGGGGTTCTTGGATTTGAGCCAGTTCAGCAGCGCATCCTTGTTGAAGGCTGCAGTGGCCACCATGTTGCTCTTGTTCAGCTGGATGTTGGCAATGGTGTCTGAATGCATGACTACTTCTATCAGGCCCGTCTTGTCTCCTGTGGAGAGGCAGCCATAAGGGGTCATCCTGCAGAGATGAAAAAAACCCTTCCACTGAATTCTTGCCCCAAATTGAGTTGTGTTGACTTTTAAGCTTTCCCTGGTCTGTCCTGTCTACTCTGTATCTACTCCTCAGTTCCACAAAACCTGACTAGCTGCTCAGAGAATACCAGACAGACCTGTCAGGGACAAAATAAGCTTGCAGACAAAATGGCCTCACCACACGTGATTTATCATTGCAGTAGGACAACTGTGTGTGTATTACTCACCTCAGGTCCAGGCCCTCCTGCTTCCAGAGGATGTCCATCAACTGGATCATCTGCAGAGTCAGCATGTCCTGACGAAGATCTGGGCAGCATTGCAAAAGAAACAAGGGTTGTAAGTACCTCCTGTTCTCCCCTCCTCTTGTGCTCTTGCAAGTGGTGCCTGTTCTGCCCCTGAAACAGGCTGCTAGAGGGACCTTTGCCACGTTTGTCACTTGCCAGGTCTAGCTAGTAAAGAACATCAGCACAGAGCAGTGGTCACTAGTGTGGTAACAGCGTAAAGCCACCACACTATTTACCTTAACTGAGACACGATTATGCTGACAGAGGTACACGCTACTTCACTTTGCCAAAGCTCTTCCCATAGCAGTCAGTGTAGCAATTCAAAAAACATCTGTGTGGACACAACAGTGGGCAGCAGCCACTCCAACCCTTCAAAGCTTGCACTGCTGTAGCTCTTTCAGGCCTCTCATCAAGTTTCTTTTTACTGTGCATTTCCAGCTACTACTGTGCTAAAATCTTAATGAAGAGGGCAGCAAGTGAAGTACAGAGGAGAGTTTATATTATCTCCAGATTACTGTCAAAAAACTCAAACATGTGCATGCTCCTCGTTTACACAACATCTTAATGGTCCATATTTAGGCCCAATCACCACAATAAATATTTGAGACCATTATGCTTGTGGAAACATATCCTTTAAAAACTTACCATCTCCATTTTTAAAAATAATACCCACTCCACCACCACCCGTCTCTTCATTATTAAACACAATCCATAGAGGTTTCATTTTGGAGTCCATAAAGGTGCACTGATCCACACTAGAGGAAACAAAAATATTACCATCAGAGTTTCCATCTATTAATAAAGCAGCCATCTAAGCTGCAAATTCAACAGCATCTACAAATGCTAACGGGGACTGGTGACTTGGGGGAGAAAAGAGAACCTCGGGCTAACCAGAAGCCTGGCTCTGCTGTTGGATAAAGCCTGCAGCACCAATTAAGAGATGCTGATATCTTCCTTACCAAACTTCAGCGAGGATAATGTTGGGGTTCAGGGGGGACTGGAGGTGGGAAAGTGCTTCAAGGTAAGTTTCCTGCTTCATGCACATATGCATCATCTCCTTGGTTTGAGGCTTGGTGGCCTTCTGAGAACTGACTTTAACAAAGTCATTCAGAGCTTTCATCTTGTTGAGTGCTTCTCCCTGAAAAAAAGGCAGGGAGGGAACAGGGTTAACAAATAGGAAATTCCTGGAGAAAGTTTCAAAACTATTAAAATCTACTGTGCAATGCAAACCTTGGTTGCATCTCTTACTTTCTCCTCAACTTGTGGCAATTTCACACATTGCAACAAAACTAATTTAGCAGCATCTGCTTGAGGGAGATCTATAATCAATTCTGGATAGTCTCCTGGGCACAAACGCACTGCAAGGTAAGTTCTGCACCAGGAATAACGCACATTTATCAGGCACCAAAGGAAGTGGTGAGGTGCACGCTAGAAAAGGGAGGATGAGACCTACAGCCCCTGCCCTTCAATGCTTTTGGGGAGTTCTGCTTATATAGAAGTGCCACTGAGTCCTGAAAATAGAAGCAGCACTGGTTTGTGGTCACATCTTAGATACAACTTCATGTAGACATGAGTCTCTCACTTCTGAATTAGGTACAGTGATCCTTGATTGATAACGGAGAAGTTTGAGAGTGGGCAAGTAGCAGGGTTACCTGCACACAGCAGCTGAAGGAAAGAGAAAAGTGCACTGCTCTGAATCAGTTGTGATCAGCTCCTACTAAATGGTAACTCATTCAACTCAGCTAATAACAGCAGCTGTCTTTGAACACTTAAAACCTTTCTAGACACACAGTGTAGTCTGGGACATGTGGGGGTCAGTAAGAGAAGAGCAAAGCCACATGTGATGAAGAATTCCAGGCCCTTAATGAGATATGCCAAAACCAATATAGCAGTTAAAAGGGTTTTTTTGTATTACTGATACCATTAAGTTGGAAAAGCTAACAGCTGAGAATCAGCTCCAGGCAAGAGGAAAGTCAACCTTACAGCTAAAAGCAATTTTTACCTGTTTCATCAAAACTTTCATATGATGGGTGCTGCCTCTGCAGTATGCTTCCAGGATCAGGCCAAACCTCAACGCAACTGCAGGAACGTGCATTTCTGACCTAGGGGAAGGAGAGAGGTTGAAGCAATTCTGACTCACTGCAGTGAGTGACTAATTCTGCCATTCATGCCAGCACAAGGACAGGGAGGGGGGGCGAGGAGGGTGCACAAGATCAGCTGCTGTTTAGATTCTTTCTGTGTACTGGGGAGGGAAAAAAAATAAATTAACCCCCCCTGGAAGGTGATGTGGAAGAACTGTTGCTTGAAGGGATGAGACATCTTTCTGGCTGACTAAATTGCTAACCACTCCTTTAAGAACATTACTTAAGGAGTGAGGGCAGTTCAGAGCCTATGGCTCAGAGCTGGCAGGTAGCCAGGGCTGACCAAAGTAAATTTCAAATCACTGGCATGTGTATATATATATATACAGATTCTGAAAACAGAGCCTAATCCAGACACCACCACCAACCACAACAACAGAAGAAAAAAATAGCAAACAAACAGATTTTGTGTCCTCCTGGAATAATCCTTATTCAGTGTCCCAAGTGAAAAGCAGCAGTTTCTGGGTTTTGGTAATCACAGCAAGGAAATCCCACCAATGCTTTGATGAAAGATGCCAGTTAAAGGACAGTAGCCTTTAAATAAATACCCTGGCATCTACACATACAGACGTGCTTGCTGTCTCACTTCAGAGAACAGTGACAAAAACAGTACATGCTGCTTTCACTTGATTGCTGAGAAAAAGCCTAAAACATTTGCTCTTTACCTCAGATGCCAGAAGAGGAAGTGACCAATCTTACGGTTGGATAACGCCCTGTCCAGCAGGAACTTGGTTAATTCACAGTCTAAGTAGGATTCATACTTAAGCACCTGAACAAGCTGTAGCAGATACTGGAACAATTCATGATCTCTGTGGACAGAAAGGAAACATAAAAGACAACCTTACTTGTGTGTACTTGGAAAAAATGTAAAGACAAGGCTGTCTGCCTTGTTCACAGCCCAAAACATAAACAGAAAGGGGCTCTGCATATCCTTTGTGGTGAACACTTACGTCAGCTTCTTTAATGAGTTGATAGCAAAGGAACCAACATAACGGTCAGGAAAGCTAAAATCCAACAGCTCCAAGGCATTCAGGACAGGCAACTCTGGCCAGGTCTGAAGCAGGGAAATCATCTGTAAGGGAAAAAAAGAAATAGCAAAAAAAGGAACAAGGATTTTATAACAATGGATAAAAATCTAAAACTCTACTGATGGAACAGCAGCTCCTTTGTGGGGGGTGTAAACCTTCTATCTTAAACATTACTTATAGATGCCTCAGACCAAGTTTGCCAATACCAAGCTCTTGAAGTAAGGAGGGATGAGCAGCACAGAGGCCATCCCTAACTGATGTCTGATGTTCTCAGCAGCAGAGATTCACTGACCTCCTGAGGCAGCTTGTGCTGGTCTCTCGCTATGAGTTAAAAATATCCAATCCAGATCCTATTTCTGCCATGAATTAAACAGGTTTTTTTCTTTCCTGCAGTTTTCCCTCCTAAGCTGGCCGCCCAAACACACCACAGGAATGTAGATACTGAAAGATGGATCAAAAAGGGAGCCTTAGCTGCCAACCCCAGCATCCTCACCTGGGCAACATCTTCATGCTTGTTCCATTTGGTGATGATAAGCAGCTTTGCCAAAGCTTGTGGGTACTGGTCACGGATATCATATCTCATCTTCCACACCAGGTCTTTCTCATGCTCATATAGCTCAGTGTGGCTCCTCCGCTCCAGTATCTCCTTCAGCTGTAACTTCTGCTCATGGGAATCACAGGAAAGAACATACACAAGACTCAGTCTTGAGTCCCCAAAGGGCTTGCTCAGCCCAGAGAGACCTTATAGGGATGGGGCATGACCCAGGTTGGTGAAAAAAAGCTGGTTTGGGGGTAAGATGAAATATATAACTTGATCTATGAAACTAGGCTTGCACATAGCCTGTACACAGCTGAAAAACTGATGCCAGAAGACTCACCTCTTCAGGATCTTCTGGTGCAGCACGGGGTTGTTCTCCATTCCTCCCCAACTCCAGCAGCTGGGACACAAATAAAGAGTCTGAGAAAGGCTTCTCATATCCCCTGAACTTCTAGTTTGTCATCACTTAAGGCATTTATGCTACATTAGAGATCAGTCACTTGCCATCTCAGGAGAAGGGAATCACACCTCTCCCAGCCTAAGTGCAGTACTGAGCAGGCCCCTCTGCTCAGAGGTTTAACCTAACTGCCCACAGACCACCTTCCCTGGCAGTAACAAGAATGAAAAGGTGAGTCCTTCCCTGCAAAAGGGCACATCTACACACCCATCCAGTTTGAGAACAGGGGCTCTGAGTCACCAAGCTCCAGGCTAACATGAGCCATTCCAGATTCTTAGAACTGGCGTGTGTTCACTGAGCAGACAGCACTGCCCAAGCCACCTTGCACACTGGCACAATCTGTTAAAGCTCCTGAGCCAGAACATGCATCACGGGGAGCATGTGGACATGTCCCTGGCAGAGCAGATCTCCTTTCTTTCCTGTAATGGGCACATTTCTTCTTCCACTTTAAGTGTTTGGCCAGTTGCAGTGACAGATGGAAAAACCCCACACCACAAGGCACATTATCACTCTGTGCTGAAAGGGAAGAGCTGCTACTTTCACTCATTTCCCCTTTTATTCCTCTTCCTCCCTATAGAGCCTGATGCTGCCTGCAGTTTAAAGGCAGCTCAGTTAAACCCATTTTTTAAACAAACGCACCTCAGTAATTCACAGAAATTCACACCTTGGGAAATACTCACTCAAAGGTCCATTAGTTAACAGAAAAAGTCAAATTTTCAATTAACATCTATTCATCAGGTTTGCTTGTAGCTGGTCCCTGTCAACAGCCACCCAAGAGACAGTGCCACTGTATGCTCCTGTGCCAGCAAAGCTAGGGAATTTCTGTGCCTCCCAAGAAAGTGTCCACATCCCCTACCTGCTCAAAGGACGGGTAATACACAGGATGCGACGCAACGCTGGGGAAGCAGATGACCAAGGCTGCTGCGCTCTCTGTGTTGGGGTTGCATTGTACCGTGCCCATGGGATTCAGAAGTTCCCCCTTCTCATCTGAAAAGCAAAGTACAGAAACCCATGAACCATCATCTTCAGAAGCTTTGGACCAGAAAGCAGAGCACAGGCTGCTCCCAGCTCTGTCACTGAGCATTCACTTCATTTTCCTGACCTCTCACAAGCAAAGTATATGTGGCATCTTTGGGACAGCAGCAACCTCTTTATGTCATACATTCTATGCCAATCAAAACAAGGCCTTCATCCCAGCAGGGCTCCAGATGCCACCACAGTCTAGAGCAGTAGTTGTACTGGGTTTGCTAGTCTCAACTATTGTGGCCTCTCCTACAACCTAGTGGACAGCAATGCAGAGTGCAGGGTGTCTCCTGTCATTGTGGTAGAGACTAAAGACACAAAATAATACAGTAGCTCTGTCCTGACATACCTGGAAAGGAGGACCACATGTGCAAGCAGCACTCCCCTGTTTTCAGCTGGTCCTTATAGTCAAAGAGCATGACATTCACCCAGGCAATCGGGCAGTCCTGCAAAGCAAGGAAGGAAGCTCATTTGGGTGCTGTAACTGCAAAAGCTGGATGAAGGGAAGAGAAGAACTAACAAGAAAATGAGATATCCCCATGCAAAGCAAAATGCTCACAACAGCCAGGAAGAGGAATACACATTATCTTGATCTCTTCCAAAACTGCAAATTGCTACACAGAAAGCTACAAGGAGGTAACCTGCCATTCAAGAGTGTGTAGGCACCCCCTCACCAAAGAGTTGCTGTAAAGAATATACCACTCCAGGTAGCCCTGCCTGCTTACCTTGCAAGTTCTCCTAAAATCAGAGTAAAATATGGCATCAAATTCAGATATTTGCAAAAACCTAAGGGCTTTTGTGTAGTGCTGAATGGCACCAAACACTCCCCACAAATACATGTAAAACTTCATAACCCGATGTTTTGCGTAGCTGAAGAATCTCTTAAGTTTCCAGTAATGCCTTGCAACTCTACAATTGGTATTTGAAGAAGCTATGACATATATATACCTCACAGATTTCACAGTTTGAGGGGAGGGAGAAGGACATTAATTTTGAAACGGGGAACACAGAGTTAGCCTGACTTCAGAAAACTATGCAAAGAATATAACTGATAATGGGAAGGAAAAGCATGGCTCCTTTGTACAATAATAAAAGCTACCTATAGAAATCAAACTTTATGCTGACAATCTCCCCCCACACCCCCTAAAATAAACCCCACAAGCCCAACCCAGTCACACAAGCCAGTTTCATTTTGGAGGTGGGAGACTGCAGCAAGTAAAGTGCCTGGGATGTGGCCAAGAAAGAGAACCCGTCTCTGCTCTAACCCGGTTCCCTGCCACCAGGGCAGACAGACACGTTGCACAAGTGACCTAAGATTTCCTGCGCTCGGGTTCCCCAAATGGAACACTTTACTTCATATGACTGTTTCAGCAACACCAGCATTTCACTCAGCTGCTCAGAAAACACCAAGGCTTAAGCAGACACTAGCACAGCAACTTGACTTGCAAAGAGGCTGCGAGGCAAAGTTTTAGTGAGTTTAATGTTTGAAGGGAACCACAGTGAGACATCACCTTGTTCCACTGAGACATCCTAGAGAATGTATCAGGCTCACTCCAAGGTACACCAAAGGACTTGGTGGAGGTAGCAAAGTCAGCATTTTCCCGTAATGCGACAAAATTAATCACTTCCAAGTGGCCTCTCACAAACCTTGGAGGCGATTCGATTAGACTAAGTATCATCAGTAAAATCCCATTTGAGACATCAGCTTCTGGATCACAGAGAAAAGCCAAACAAAACACCACCACCAGCAATAACCTTTTCTAACAGAGTAAATGACATTAAACCACAGCACAGAGCCTGCCAAAACGCAAGGCAAGATTTTTGGTGGATAAGATCCAGCAAAGTAACGGTTCAAAAAAAAAGCACTGCAAGGACAGAAATATCTCCTGCATGACTTACAGAACCACTGAAAGCCAACCCTCTGGGTGACATTAACCCTCTGACTCACCCCCATCAGTCTGCAAGCATGCCTGTTTTTGTGGTAGTAAATTATTTAGTCCCACCTATCTGCTCTGGACAGTCTGCAGAGACAAACAACATGCATGTAATTAACCCCTGAGTACTGTAAGCAAAGCAAGCAAAAAGATTATTAATCAAAAACAAAAACCAGGGTGCACTCTGGCTGTAACCTCCTCTTACCAACCATTTTAAATGAGATCTGGGCACCTTATTCAGAGCTGCAGCTGACCATGTGGAAAAATCCATTTCTGCAGAGCTCAGTGCCAGCAAATATTGTGATTTTCTACTAAGAGCTCACCAGAATGCATCCACCTTTCCCCAGGACCAGGACACACATGAACAAGATCCTCTTTACAACTCAGCTAACCAGGCTGGTTTTGTTTTGTCAATCAGAAGAGCAAGATTTCCTTCCGACTGCTTCAAAACTGAAAATTGTTCCAGTGTGACCACAAAAATGCAGCCTGTCGATGAATCAGATATTCTGCCCAACAAAAGCCTCCAGCAGGAGTTGGAGTTCTATTATTAAGTAAAAAAAAAAACAACAATAAAAAGGTTGATCCTGGTCCTGGCCTCAAAATGTTTCCAGTCTGAAGTCTCCAACCCAGAAACTGGTCCACACAAGCAGGACTTGTGGGCTTCCTGTTGCTCCCCAGACATCAGCGCACTGTAACCCCAAGAACCCTGTTGTTGTCAACACAACAAAGCTCAGTGAACCTCCCAGCAGTGAAAAGGAGCTAGCAGAACCGAGACTAAAACCTCCTGTGATCACATTTAGCAGTCCCTCATTTCTCTGCACTCTAGTAAAGAGGGCATAACAAATCCTCTGTTTAAAGCACAGTAACAGTGTTTTTATGGCTGCAGAAACAATAATTTGCAGAGGAATAAATGCATTTGTTGTTCATAAAGAAAACTCTTCACACACAAAGAGCTAGAGGCATCATGCTTAAGTTACAACACTGGGAAACCAGAAATTCTATTACAGACTGCACTTACATCTACTTCTAGTTACTGAATTATTAACGGGCTAGAAGTTCTGGAATAGAGGCTAGGAAAGTGAGAAATATCACTACAACTCTGATTCAGAAGCTCAAAACAAGAGCTTCCAAAGTGATTTAACACTTTCCATCCTCAGCTTGCAGCATCTGAACAGTAACCTTGAAGACTCTCACTCTCATTTTACCCCACCTAAAGCTTTGCTGTAACCAGTGTGTACATTCCTTAATTTCCTGGCCCTTCTTAACTGTTAATTTGCTCCATGGGAGATTTGCATGAAAGACCTTACTAGAAAGAAGATGCAACCCAGAAGATGGTTTAACCTCAACTATGAAACAAGGAAGTTGCGGAACAGCAAAACAGAGACACTAACACAAATTATTCCTCTTTACATGGATTCAGCTGCTGGGGATGTTTCTTACTCGTCTTTCTGGACAAGAAATCACATTTAAACAACCTTTCCTACAGGCAGCCACTCCTCAGTTTCCTGTTCCTGTTGAATTTACTGGCCATCACTCTGTAAGCTCTTTTATTAATAAAGTCTTCTGAAAGCAAAGGGCATTTGGTTCAGAATGGTGTCCTGGGCCCAGCACTGGCAAGCCTGGCTCAGTCCCACACTGGCTGTACTTACAGCTTTCTTGGACTTCTTCTTGGTGGAACGTGCCTTCTTTGCCTTCTCAATGACAGCATAGAGGGCAAAGCAGAGCCGTGCCATACGGGGAAGATCACAGATGTTAATGTCAAAATCCAGCCTCTGCTTCCACACTGGCTCAGAGCACACATTCACTTCAGAACTTGACACTGTCTTGCACAGCATCTCATTGCCATGGAACAGACCTGCTTGCACCACCAGCTGAGAGAGGGAGAAATAAGAGAATACCATGAATCCACAGGGACTTGACCTGTTTGCTGAAGACATGAGATTAGGAGTGGGACAGGACATCCACTCCCCTGAACAGGATGCCCTATTCCTGCCTCTCTTCTGATTCACTGAGACATTAAGTTCCTTATCTTCCTCTACTCAACTTCAGTAAGGGCATTGTTATCTTTTTCCTTCATGCAAACCTGCAGGAGTTGCTTAATCGTTGCAAAATGCTTGGGTAATCAATTGATAAGAGTTTTATAGGTTTCATCCCATAAAGTCAGGCAATATATTCACCAAACCTTGCCCACAGAGATGCTGCAAAAGCTCAGGAGTCTCTCACGTTGAAAAAGCAGGGCAGACACCACAAGCCGGGCAAGTGCTTATGCCAAAGAGGAGGCAAATCAACAATACAGAGGAAGGGCACGTGTGAACAGCTGAGCCCCAAAACAGGCCCGCAGTGCAGCCCATGGGCCCAAAGCCCATCATGCTTTCTGTCCTAACTTTACCAGTCACCACCTCTCCCATCATTCTCTCTTCTCAGAGGTGGATTGCCCCTCCTTTGCTTTTTGCAGACTTCCCTGCCCCTTCACGCTGCTGTCAAGTGATAGCACCACAGGGCAGCAGCTCTGCTTGCTACTTAGACACTTTCTGCAGGAGAGTGTTTTTAAGAATGCATTGCTCCACTGCTGTGCTGCTGGCTAGCAAGTTTTCTTCCCCTTCCTGTTGTGCTGCAGTTTAGAAACTGCCCAAAGGCTGAATGAAGCATAATGGAGAATCACGTGAGATCAGGCTGTTGGTCCCTGCTTTCCTTACCACACAAACAAGACAAATGCAACTGGGAAAGCCAAAACACAAAACCAAAACCCCAAACTGAGTCAGTACATACCTTCATTCTCTCATCTGCATTGACCTTGCTGCCTTGCACCAGCTCAATGGAGAAAGACTGTTCTAAGGACCAGAGAGAACCATAGTTTGGCTAGAAAGAAAAAAAGAGTTCTGATGAGAAATAGATGCAACAAAGACTTCTCAAGCCAGTGCCAGACCTCATCTCTCATCACATGCTTTCTGCTCCAAAAGAAAAGCACACTGCATTGCATGAAGTCTGTGACAACCAGAGAAGTTGTGGAGGGAGCTGGAAGGTTGACTGGAAATTCCCAGCTCTTAGACACTAGCTAGGAACCTGTCTCTGACAGAGGCAGGGAGAACCAGCTGCTGTTCCCAGACAAGAACAGCATCTCCATCAATGGATGGGTTGAGGGTGACCCCGCTGGGTCACCGTCCCCTTTTACCTTTTTCTTAGGGAGTGGGGGAGGCTTGGCAGGCATCTTCAGGGGGCTGGCAATACAGTTGGTTTGCTCATCTCTCATAGCAATGATAGTGGAGGAGTGTACCATGGTCAGGTGGGGTGTTAGGCCTTTGTGCAGGCAGCTCCGAATGTACTGCAGGGAGAAGACAGAGTCAGCACGGATGAAGGACAGCCAGGCAGGCAAGAGCAGTCATGCAAATCAGAACTGGCTGAAGCAGAAACAGGTGGAAGGAGTAAGGAAAGGGCACAACAACAACCAAAACCCATTTTAATTTATCTCCTCTTGCTTTATAAACCTGCAACTCACTAGACTCATGTTGCCAGAACTGAGAATATGAAGTGCCTTTTATAGTTGGCATTTCATCAACTGACTCAAATGGCTGCATCGAGGGAAAACACTGAGATGGATTCAGTGCTCCCCACAGCCAGGGGAAGGAACACAGGATACAGGATTACTTGCCCACTTTTCAGGAAGAGAACCCCCAGCCCACCATGCAAGCAACCGACATTTCTAGAACTATAATCTATAAATGCATTTACACAGCACTGGGTACCCAGGGATGAGCTTAGATCACCAGCCCCCAAAACCATCAGGATCTGTTAGGTTGCTGGAAGTATTCCTTGCCTTGAGTAGCATCCAGATGCCACCACTGGTGCATTGCATTCCTGTGAACATCACTGCCTCCTTGATGGAGGATAACAGGTCACAACCCACCCTCCCAGCAAGAGGAAGCTATATGGGAACAGACTGATGGATAAAGTAAGACAAAGGGCTCACCTGGAACTGGTACAGTGGGTAGTTTCCATACAGATATTCACATTTCCCATTCACCTGCAGGGTGTAGTCCCCTGGGTTCTCCACTGTCTCATGGCGGAAGACAGTAGCCTGCTTCTTGATAGCATAGCTCATTAACGTGATGGGGAACTCGGCTGGGGAGATCTGGAAAGTGAAGCTCTCCTGCAATCCCAACAACACAGCATACATTGTCAAACACCAGCAAAGGGCTGAAATCAGCACAAGGAGTGGTAGTAGCTCAGCAGATAGGCAACAACATTCC